CCAATACTCTCAGCACATGGGAGTTCTTTCTAAGCTTTCTTTGATTTATGAATTGGTTTTACAACTCCTTTCAGGGTTTGCGCTAGTGTCTCAGCAAGACGAGTCCCACTTACAAAATTTTAAGAAATTGAAATTTGACCCTTTATAACTTTATTAGAGATTGGACCCCAGCTTGCCTGAAAAACTGGGTCCCTCTTCAATAATTGGAGTCCGGGAAGCAAAATATGGGGTTAACGCAATCCCTGTCCTTTTTTCCCCATTCATCTGGTATTTTACTATCCCTCAGATATGATTGAAATAGAACCGTTAAGGATTGTACTATTGATTCCCCACCATTTTTAGTCCTTTGGACTAATCACCATTGGACGATATGGCAGTGTGATTCGATGTCTCAAATTTCGCTATGAAAATTAAAGTATAATAATTGTTTTGATAGAATACAATGCGTGATGTGTATTTGTGATTACATGGGCGCTGTCTTAATAAAGTAGTGTGTGTTATTGGACGAATTGAACACTTGCTGCGCTGTTTTATTGCACGAACTGGTCACTGACAGGCAACAACCAGCGGCTATATTCATAGCTGCGGTTCCATAGCTCTTTTGTACGACTGACAACTGATTTTTACATTTTTATTTATGTTCGTAGTATGGTTTTGTATCTTGTCAGTCACCTCTGGGGACGACTAATACCGTTGAGCAATAAAAAAAGACGTGCGCCGACAAGAGAGCTATGAACCACATACGGGCTATTCATCGAATCACGATGGAATAAATACACGAGTTACAGGAACGTGTGTTCAGGGTTAACCTCGATACAATGCTAGTAATAACTCCCAGCGTATCCCGGGTGTCTTGCATCATAGAGTGCATTTAGAAGATAAGTATGTTTTTACGGCGTGTCACTGAGAAAATATTAACCGGTACTGATAGTGCGACATTGCACCGAGTACCGTCGCATCGCCTGAGCGTGGATAGTCTGCGAATGCACATGAAATCGTAATGCGGTCAATCATGTCAGTCGTGTCTGAGCGCAAACATATTATTCAACATCATCAGAAGGTACTGACATGCTTTTACGGAGTTTAACTGAGAGAATATTACTAACAGTATGACATTGCACAGCCCTGTGTAAATGCCTGTTGTTCCAGCCGCTAAAAACTGTAGGGTGGCGTACACATTTCACCGAAAGTACCGTTCGTTTCGCCTGAGGTGGGTGGTCTGTGCATGGATTTTTTTTTTGCTCCATGGTCTGTGCGAAGCACACAAAATCGTAATGCGGTCAATCATGTCATTGGGTAAATGGAATCAAACACAAAAATATTATTCAACATCATCGGTAGGTGTTGACATTGTTTTCTTTGCCCCGTGAATCTTAAAAACCGATCGAAACGCGACTCGATGTTGTCAACTTGTCGTTTTCAAATTAAACATTTTGAAGAAAAAAACGAACTCGAGCGTTAACGATAGCATTATGCTGATATATATACAAAACTCGTAAAGACTAATGTACTTTTATTAAATACAGCCAAAACAAAGTCAGCTTGACATTCAGTTGTGAAACATCACAAAATAAACGGTGCCAGCGATAGATTTCGCGAATGCAAGAACAAAATCAAAAACACAATCAAAGGCGCCGACCACGCGCGTTGGAAATAAATAGAACGCGTTGCGACGAGAAATCTCACCTGCATCTTTCACTCACGCAAACGCACACACATCCTATTTCCATATATTGAATACGATCGCAACGGAAGGATCAAGTTTAAATCATCTTTGTATTATTAAACACAACTTGAAAGCAACAGTCTCACACTGAATCAATCAATGTTTATCAATTATCAAACTAAACATTCAATGAAGCAGACTGTGACGGTTAAGGTAGCGAGAAGGGAAATTTTCACTTTTTTCTTGATTTTTCAAAAATTGATAAAACGTTCATTTTAGACCTTGATACGAAAAGACAAGGATAAAACGAAAAATGAATTGAATATCCATCTTCTGAAAAAAGTCAGCTAAACAGTTTACCACCACGATTGTGGTGAATTAGCGAGTTATCGACAAAGACGACCGGACGTCTCTGGTCATGAGCTGGCTGGTTCGAATTTATTCACTTTTACAGTGATGAATATTACGTTCGAGTTGAGTTACTTGTAATTACAAGCTTGATTTACATTTTTGTGGTGTTTTTCGTCAATGTATTAAATATAAGTGCGTTGGGAAATAGCACAATTATATTGCGTCAGTGAAAGAGGTTGATGAGACTGCGTCACAACGCGTTCTATTTATTACCAACGCGCGTGGTCGGTCCCTCTGATTGCGATTATTTTGTATTTTTATTTTCGAAATGTGTCACTGGCTGCGTTTTTTATACGTCTCGCAACTGAACGTC